AAAAAAAAAAAAAAAAAAAAAAAGGAGAAAAAGAAAAAAATAATAATAAGTGCTTAGGTGTGAAGGTCTAAACTCGAAACTTCTTACTAAGAATTTCCACACACACACACAAAGTGCTCATGGGCTAAATCTTTTAACAAGTGGTGTGAAGAATAGGATCGAGTATTTTACTTTAAGTGAGTGTATGAAAACTCTTGAATGTTTGAGACTTTTTATCTAATTGAATTTAATTCCTAAATTTTCTTTGCATGCATATCATATAGTTGCATTCTTGCATTGGGATTTTGTGGGTAGATTCGCTAAAAACCCTCGTGAGACACAACTCGTCCACTAGGGTAACTTAAGGGTTTAAAGGCTTGTTGCACATGTTAAGTGCAATCATGATTCTTACAAAAGTGAGTTAGGTTTTATTTTTTTTATTTGTTTTTTTATTTTACTCGAGGACGAGTAAAACTTAAGTTTGGCAAAATTTGATAAGCTGAATTCATATAGATATTAATGTGGAATTTTTGCTTTAATATTATTAATATTTGGATGAATTTTATGAGATTTTATATGGTTTTCATTTTTTGTGCAGAAAAGACTTGAATGCATAAAAATAAGAGTTTTTGGGATTAATTGAACATCTTTTGAAAGTTGAGTGACTTAATTGCGGGAAGAAAGGCGTTTCTTTGGAACCTAAATGAATGAATCTCACGTTTTGGGATGTAAGTGCTCATCATATAAAATCTAAAGGACCATATCTGCAATTTTACCATTGAAGAATTGCTGAGACCAAAAACCTGACACGGTGATGCTGCTGTGTGTTGAACAGAAGGTGTCGGTACCTTGTTGAAGGTGTTGACCTCTTACAGGATTTTCACAAAATCCATGTTTAATTTATGGGTGTGGATTTCATTTCTATTCCAATCAAAATTTTTAAAATCCTATAAATACCGATCCAAATTTAGAATTAAAGGGGGAAGGAGGTTGATGGCAGCTCTCTTTTGGGTATTATTAGAGATCAAGATAGAGATTTTATCAATAATAAAAAATCAAGTAGTTTAATTCCCTCAAATTAAGTTTTGTTTTTTCTTTGGTTTCTTTTATATATTGTTTGACATTTTAATGTTCATAACTATAATTTTAGATTTTATTATTTTTATTATAAACTAATTTATTCTACTAGGGCTAAGATATAGCCTAATTAATTTAATATAGATTTTGTGATTTTTATATTTTTAATTAAAATTATTTGCATGATAAATTTATATTATTGAACTTAATGCATTAAGAATTTGATTATTTTTCAATTAATTTAGTAATTTATGCATGAACTTGAGAAAGAATTGCATAAATTAGACCAATAACAATATATACCGTGTGTTAGACTATGAGACTGAGAGGTAACCAACTCACATGTGGTAGTGAAGGAAGATAAGAGAGTTAGAAGCTTCCTCTTCTTAACCTATAGGTTTCCATAGAATTTAACGCTCATTAATTTGTTTGAAATTATATAGAGATATGATTAATTTGACAAACAAGTGAAGGATTAGCTTGATTTGAGAAAGCTGGTTAATTAATTAAGGAAAATCCATCATCATATACAATAACACTCAACAATTTGATAATCCAGAATTTATATTAATTGATTATGGTGAAATCCATGCCTTAATACCTCATATCTTGATTAGTTTTATTTTAATTGTTATTATTTTTTTAATTAAAATTTCTTCATTTTCGATTGTTTAAATAAATTTGGATTAATTATTTTGGTACGTAGTTAAACACAATTCTTGTGGGTTCAACACTCTTCTCATCATTATATTACTTGGAGCGACCAGTACACTTGTTAGGGTGATTTTAGTGCATCAAACACTTTGTGCTTTTCCAAACTGATGGGATGCCAACTCCATTGAATAAGTGATTCTTTCGCGAATAGCCAATAAAGGAATAGAGTGATGTCCTTACGGTGGGGAAAGATAATGAGTAGCATTCTAAGTCGGGAGAACAAACCTGACATTATTAATTGTGGCAACAAAAAATGTCCTCGATCGTTCTATCTTTTATAGGAACACTGAGTAAAGCTTCAAATTGTGAACCCATCAAGTGACTATGTGCCCATGTAGTGAACAACTCAATGCAACTCGAGAAATGATCGGATCCCTTTGCCCTAATATCTCCCATAGACCTCAAAGTTTCAGCCACGCCACCATTGTAAAAGCATGATTAAACACCAAAGTATGCAACAATTGCTCAAACAAGGCTATCACCATAGGTGCTATGGTTTTAACATAGATAGGGAAGATCACCATGCCATAAATCCCCAATGCCACAAAGTTAATCTTTTGAGGAGATGTCATGCTTTCCAAGCTTTTTCCTAAGGCAATAAATGCTACAATCCAATAAAACCCGCAAGAATCATTTCTAATTGTCACCAATGGTTGGGTGAATTCAAATGAGAACCCCTATAGAGCTTGCAACATTTCTTGAACCTTTGCAAGTGTGAACTGCATATGTTGTGCTTGAGAAGTGAAGGTACAAGAATCCATTGTAGGACTACATCGAAAGAATTGGTGATACTCATCAATGGTGGGCAACAACTCAAACCATGGGAACACAAAAGCTTGGTATCGAGACACATAGAATTTCAACATAGCTTTGAATAAATCCTAATCCGGCACCACTGACAATAGATCCACAATGCACCCAAATCGGACCTTAAAGTCATTCTTCTCCTTAGAAGACAACAAGTCATAAGCTTCTTTCAACAACTTCAAGTTGGGTTTGGAAGTATTAACTAAAAAGATTGATTCCCTAGCCTTCTTAAAAGTAGAATGAGATGTAAAATCCTCCCCAAGTCTCTTTCTTTATCCAGTTGTATCCTTATGAAAATCTATGTGTAATGAACAATCTCACCTAAACAAAAAGCTTAAAAAAGTTAAACATAAATCATACCTTCACATGTCATACCACATTATGTATACAAAGATATGCTGCCATATGCACAAACAAAAGTTACTAAAGTAAAATGCCCCTTTTGTGTCTTAGACACAAGACGCCTAACCTTGCTAGTGGGATGCTAAGAGAAACATGTCTTAGGGCTGGTATCTCTCTAAGACCACTACATGTTTTCCTAAAGGGCATTAGGCTTTCTCAACCATCTATCCTTTCAGAATCAATGGGAGATATTTCCAAAAGCTAATACACAGGATGATATTATATCATCAAATGTTGTCTTAACCAATGGAAACAACCTAACAAAAACCAATCTTACTCCTCAGTGAGAAGAATTTCTTTTCCAAGCCAGATTCATAAGGATTCCAGACTAGAGGTTGGGTTCACCTCAGACACGGATCTAATGCAAAATGAGAGCGAGTGTGTGCAAGGGGCATGACACTCCAATAACTTGCATATTGGCAACCACAAAATAACAACATATATTCCACGGCAAGTAGGCAAACAAATAAGCAAATAAAACATATAAAGCACTCAATAGATATGGCACCCACAAACAAACCCACTTACACAGCAAGAAAGGAGTCACTAAGTACTCCCATGCCAAATGCAAAAGGTTAGCGACACAAAGCAACTAATACTTAGTATGCAATAAGATGTAAATAATCACACAAGAGGGAAGAGACTCACTAAGTATTCCATAGCCAAATGTAAAAGGTAAGTACATTCGCACACAAGCAAGTAGGCATAAGCATGATGCATGATGAATAAACATGTAACATCAATGATGGATGAGCATGTGAGATGATATGATGCATAAACATGTGAGCAAGGCATGATGCATGTCAAGGTGTAGCAAGGTAACCATTCAAAGACAACGACAATAGAAGCAACCACCAAAGTAACAAGCAAACAAGCAACACACAACAAGCACATGCAGTAAGTGACAAAGACCCACAAAGACTTAACAAACAAAGAAAATCAAAAGATGAAAAATTCCCCAAAGTAAAGTATTAGCGCGACCCTCATAAACCTACAATACGGAAACCAGATATTTTGGGTTTGATCCCTAATGGAGTCACCAATCTGTTGACAACCAACTTAAGATTTCAAAATTTAAAAAGAAAAGGAAAAATAATGTAAAATTAAGTGTGAAAAATATAAAAAGAGTCACCATGCCATTTCTCCAAATTATAAGATAGGACAAGTTAGCTAAAAATAGGTTTGCACATAGATCGTGGTACGAGGGTTTGGTTACAAGTGAGGCAGGGTATACACGCATCTGATAATTCTCTGCTTAAATACAGTTGTAAATTTTAACATTGGGGTTTTAATTCAACTAATTTATTATATTTTTATTTGAGTCTTAATAAGCAAGGTCGAAAAGGGATAAACCAAATTGCAACATTTTTAAATTTTTGGACTAAAATGGACAAAATCAAGAACACGCATGCACCATGACCACAAATAAAAAGTTAAATGGACTGCTTTGATTAAATTCAAAATATGAGGGATTGATTTGAAAATATTTAAAACTTTTGGACTAAATGGCTTAATCATGAATGTTTTGGGTGAAATTCAAATAAAATGGAGATAATTTTGACTTTTAACTAAGATTAGAGAAAGTAGAGGGTTGAAATTAATTAATTATGATAATTAATTTAATTGAATAATTAATTCAATATTAGTTAAAATTAATTAAAATTAATTAATCACATTTATTAGTCTCTAATAAAAATAATTAAATAAATCTAATTATCTTAAATTAAAATCAATAAACATAATTAATTTACTTTAATTAAAATTAAAATTAATTAATTAATTTCATTAATCATGAATTAAATTAATCATCCTAATCAATTAATCATTTTGTTTATATTTTTACCCCCATTTTTTGTATTTCTTTACCTTTTTTGTTTTTTTTTTTTTTTACTAGATTGGGTCGAGTCATCCTGGCCCAAAAAAACGCAAACCATCAACTAAAATATGCAAAAAAAATGATCAAACCTTGGACAAAAACGAAATCTGAATAGAACAAAGGCCAAAGCCCCTATTTGCACCCTCCATTTATTTTTTT